TTTTTCTACAGAACTAGGGCCAATTTGATCCTTTTGGTAGATGTTCTGGGAGGTGTTAGCTCATTGTATGACCCCTAGGTATTATCACTAGCCTAGTTCTTGCTGGAAGAAGTAATTACATTTGTATCTCTGGTGCTATCTACTCTAGCTCATTTACCTGTATGTTTAGTATTTAACAGTTTCTTTGCTGCTAAATTCATCCCCAATTCTCAATCTACCAGCTACTTGATCTTCTAATGCTTATTCTCTACCAGTCCTACAGAACATATTTTTTTTTTTTATTTTGACCTCCAGATCCTGAACCTATAACGTATACTACTCAACCTTTTGTTTATACTGTTCAACATTACAGACTTCATGCACATACAATCGAATCTGGTTGATTTTGGTTGACGTTATTAGTATTTATTTACAGAATGTGCTAGAAAATACAGCTCAAAAAAACTTGTTAAAAAATGTTTCATGTTTTAGTCATAATCAGTGTTCAAATATTTGCTCCCCACCTGGACAAACTTACAAGTGCTTGATATAATCCTTAGGCGTTTCCATTTCGTGCTGGTATTTGAGTCTTAGTATAAGAGAATGACGAAAATAGGTGTGCAAGTAGGAAAATGTTAAGGTACTATTTACAGAAATTTAAACATGTTAGACAAATATTTGTTTAGTCATGTTTGAGGTAACATTTGTCAAATAAGACCATTTCATTTAAAAGATTTCAGTTGTAATGTCAGCATAAGCTTACCTTGTCTTACTAAGTACTGTTGTAACTCAGCATTTATTTTAGGAATCTACATGCTATTATCAACAAGCACCTGTCTCTCCAGACTCTTCCTGTATAACAAATTAAAGTATCTGTAACATCTTAACCTCTGACCTACTAACATCACTGTCATGCCTGACTGATTTCTGCCACACCTGGCTGTAGTAGAGAAAACTAAGTGTGTGGGGTGTGATGACTTGGTCCTGTCTGTCATTTGGAAGCAGTTGAAGTGTTGGGATTAAGCCAATTGGCCCTGTATCACTTCCTGACTAGGTAGTACTGGCAAGGCTCATCACACTGGTAGTGTAATTGGCGAGGTTATCAGATAAAACTAAAAACTATTAATTCTACTTAACAATTTGACAAATAGTCTAGACTGATATAAGATAGACAGACCTCAGTTAATTACATACAAGTATTAAGATTTGGGGCCAAAAAAAGGTTGGCTTTGAGGACTATGTCAGATTCATTACAAATAGTTAAAATCTGAAAATAAGTGATTGTTGGGCCTCCCAATCATGCCTTGAGCCCACACAATCCAGACAACTACCTGGCCATGCATTGTATTGCGCACAGAGTTCAACATCTATAACAAACTACACTATGAACAATCTTAAAATTTAAAGTGAAATTCTGGCTAACGTAGCAACTATTGATCAGCTGAGTTTTTTTCTAATCTCACCTTGGATAGAAAGGGGAGTTCTTTTGCATTAGTTTCCTGATTGCATGCAGGACTCTGGAGAAACAGGTCTTTGATGTTATGCAAGGTATGTCTTACCTGAGGAAGCTAGTACAGGTATCCAACACACAATGTGTAAGATGATTGGATCTGAATTATTCATGGGACAAGTTGACACTGTTGGGAGTGGTTTTCTGTTGACTAGCGGTCTAGGTGGTTGTGGCCCAGGCAGGCATCATCTTGATTGAATGTTGCTGATAGATCGCTAGATTGGGATGTGGGATAGTACTGGTCTTGGAAATAGACTTTCTTGTTTGACTTGAAGTCTGGCCATGATGGAAGTAATTTCAGATGTGGAAGAAATGTATATTCCATTTATATCAGAATTGTTCCATAATAGTCAGCCATTTATAGAATTGATAATATAAACATGTAGTTTACAGAGACTCCTTTCAATAATAAGTTTTGTGCAGAAAGAGTAAATTAGGAATATGTATATATCTGGTTTGTAACTACTGATATTGATAGGTAGTACTAGGAAGGGTGGGACTACATCCTTTATAGATCTCGGATTATGTACAGAAGGCTCCCGGGACCTCACTCCACACACAGAATCGATCTCTGCAATAAAAACATGGCAATGGAACCGTTTCTACAGATATTATGATAGCATGTGTGTGTCAGTTTCCTTGGCGACGGCACACTGAACGTCAAAACACTTCAAAACAGTGTTAGAGGAATTGTGTACTGTATTACATAATAAAGCAATTGTTGGTGTTTGCTTTTCTGTAATATTTAACACACTGTTGGACCACAACAAAGCCAGTGACTTGAAGAGGTATTGTAACTCAGCTTTATTTTCAAGCATCAATCTTGTCTGAAAATAATTGACACGGAGTACAAAAGAAATTATACCCTCTCAGTGTCATCTCTTTTATCTTTGGTTTTTAGGAGGAGGAAATTGAAGTGATATTTTATATTTTGTTGACATATTTATCAAGCTTTTAAAAGTAAGACAAATTGTAATGCAGGTCTCCTTATGATACAATATGTTTTTATTTATGAAAGAATTTGAAGCCAAAAATACATATTGAATTATGTCTGGTTTACCAATGATGATGAAAACACAATGTAGTGTTACACTGGATTGTTATTCACAAATCCAAGGTTGGCACATCATCAACCGTGGAGGGAGGTGCCAGACTATTTCCTTGGCAATCTCGTCTCAGCAGGGGTCGGCAGTGGCGTGCAAAAGATGGCAGATGTAGAAAGTTTCAGGCTTGCTCTTGCATGATTTAGAACAAATTTTCACACATTATGCCACACAAAAAACAGAATATATTTCCTGGCTCTATAAAGATATATACAAGGAAAACGATTAATTAAAATTCATAATGTGTAGATAAAGATCAGGCTGGAGATAGAAGGAAAGATTGTGTTAGATACATCACTGCCACTCTGCTTAGTAAAACCCGAGTCTGTCAGAACTTTTTCATATGAAGGTACCATTTTTTGAGAAGTAAGTTTTTATGATATGACAATGGGGCTGTAGGTCTTGTGTTTGATATCAGTTAAACCTGTATATTATGAAACAGCAGCTAGATTACTGTTGCAAATTTACACTGTCATCAAGTGTAGTTTTATCTGCACGAAATGTGTAAATAAATGATCTGTAAAGAAAAACAAATTAGAGGATACACTCAGATGTATCATGTAGTGGTAAAAAGTTTCAGATTTAATAGTATTTGCTTCTAGGGGGAAAATATTACATCATATGTACACACAAGTCTGATCTTATTTCTGGCCAAAATGTTTGATGAGATGTGTAGGCGCTGTCTAGAGGGCATGTTTGAATGACTATAGAAATTTGAAGGACAAATCGTGTGTATATATTACGTGGATCGGACTAAAGATCTGCCTTTAGAAACACTGTCGGAAAGGTGATGCTATCTTAGTCTTAAATGCAGGTGTACTCCTTCCCAGGAGATTGTGTAACTCCTACTCTCAGCATGACAGTACAGTAGCAAACATAAATATTGCAGGTCTCTCTCTCAGGATATGCATTTGTTTCATGTCAAGATATGGAAGAGAAATATCCAATAGTAAAGCATATCACAGATAAAGTGTACCTTAACGCTGAATGGATGTTTCCATTTAAGGAGAATTAAAATAAGTAAGCAAATTATAATGTGTAGGCTATACAGGAGCGGGTGTATGTAGTGTAAGTTCCACACAGAAAAGATTGCTGTGTAATGTATCAGTATTGCTTTGTTTATACTTGATATAAGGTCACTGTTCTGTGAAGATCAATCACAATGGGTGATGAACCACTCTTGATGAAGAGAATAAGTACAAAAAGTTCTATCATTTGTTTTAATATCCAGGGGATTATTTCTTGTATTGATTAAGGAATATTCATAAACTGATTTTAAGGAAAACCTTTAAGATAAGACATATGTAGGACAAGTTATATATTATCTGTGTTCCAGTATAAGATGTTACTAGTTATAATTTGGAATCAAGTTTACCTGTATATTACCTTCCAAACACACCTGTAAGGTCATAATTCTGGTTTACTTGAACCAGTATTGTTGATGAAATGTATTTCTGATGGTGCTCAATGTTCATAACTATGCTAAGTGGAAACAATTCAATTTCGTGAAGTTCTGCTACTTCGTTCTTGAGCTTTTAGTCTTGAAGTTTTTAATAACTTTTAATCTAATTTCAAAGACAAAGCTCCAATACTACAAATGATGCTTTGCAAAAACAGATTATAGTATGTTAATAGTTCATGTTGGTACATAATGTTGTCTACCATATCATACAAGATTGCTTTTTTTTTAAGTTGTTTTTGTGCGTTTTTTGGACCAGTATCTATTTTTAGATGGCTATAGCTCATAAATAGATAAGGATGGGCAGCTGTTGCGTTTATCATATGGGCTTGGTGTTACCGAGTTTTAGCTGTTAGTTTGTACTGATGAAGTGTAAGGTAGCCTCTTTCACTATGAACAATTTTAAAATGACTCTACCTAACCTTCTCATGCTTGTAATGAAGCAACATGTGTCTCCATGCCTGTGTCAGTACAATGAATCAATCTCATGCAGGGTTATCTTAAGCAGGAGGAAACATTGCTTTCAATTATAGCTAGACAATCAGATTAAACATAATTTACACAACTCTCTTGCCAACAAGTCTGGGATAACAATGTTGATATGATAAACATATTTTAAAGAAGTCTATTTCATTCCTGTGTAAACACATGTGTTTATATTGTGTATAAAAATCTCTGTATTTCCCTCATATGTTGGTATTAGCTATACATTGTATATAAAACATCTCTATATTTCCCTCATATGTTGGTATTAGTTATACATTGTATATAAAACATCTCTATATTTCCCTCATATGTTGGTATTAGTTATACATTGTATATAAAACATCTCTGTATTTCCCTCATATGTTGGTATTAGTTATACATTGAATATAAAAATCTCTGTATTTCCCTCCAGCAGTGACATATTATGCAATTATGATATGTATATCTCCTTCCTGTGTTACAGGACCTCGTAAAGAGTCACCTGATGTATGCTGTTCGAGAGGAGGTGGAGGTCCTTAAGGAGCAGATCCAGGAACTTGTAGAAAAGAACAACCAACTGGAATATGAGAACTCCATACTGAGGGCGTCGGCAAGCCAGGAGACATTGAGTAAACTCCAGGCACCCCGTCAGTCACAACCTCCCTCGTCCTCATCGTGACCACAACACCCATCACCATGACCACCTAACGCTGATCATCCCCTCCGGTATCGGTGATGGGATGTCTGTGTCGGTCAGAAGCTTGTCATGCCGCTAGTTCGCCAACAGTGGAAGTGTTTTCACGCTGCATACTGCACGCACACCAAAACGACTAGCACCTGTATTCTTATTTATCTTCATTTATAAGAATATGGACATAGCATGGCTTCCATGACTACCAACTGACAGAGGTCCGTGTTCACCATGGTAACACAATTCCAATCAAACTGGCTTCTGGTTGTTTCCTTAGTTGCGTCTTGTGATAAAGGACATCGGAGATTTTGCTGAGGTCTGTTGGTAACACACTTTCAGGATAGAAAGTGACATCTCAAGCAAAATGGAGCATCGTGGTCCAAGTACTGGATCAGTAGCCTTCCAGAATGATTGAGGTCATGTCTGGGAAGTATCAGATGTGTTGAATGTCAAGTTTGTTCCTTAATTCCAATTTTCAATACTTTTATTTCATCCATTTTATGAATATCATGAGTTGTCAATTTAAATGAAATGTATCTACTGCAATATCTAGGACAATCATTATTTCTCCGATGATTCATAGTGTATAATATATGGCTACTCTAATCTTTATTTTTGTCATTTGTATCATTATGTAAGTGTATTTTATTATATAAAAGTTTTGTTTATGTAACTCTGCATCTATTAAGAATACCTAAATGAAGAAGCGTGACATTCTGATTTCATTTTGCAGACTTCATTAGTTATATCAAAATTTCATCTCGATATAAAGTGAAGGTCATACCTTCTCATGACCTTGACCTTTAGGTCAGTTTCCTATTGCTTGCCTGTTATATTCATGGCATACCAGTCACGCTGATTCTGTCTACAACTTGTAGCAGTTTTGGTGTAAAGCACTTGTGTTGTTGATAAATACTACAAAATACTGCTCTCCGTTACAAGTCTCTTGCCTTTGTGTTTGCATATTTGTATAAGGAAATAGCTTTATCGTGGCAACATTTTCGTTTTGAGACTTAAACTTAAATTGAAGGAAAGATTAAAAAAAGAATTTGAGGTTGAATATTTTATCAACAGAACATCATTCCACTCAGTCCAGTAAGCATTGCTTTAAAGTTTAAAAACAATTGCTTTGCCTTGACACAGAATTGTGATATGTCCTCTGTAAGTGTGTTGAATTCTTTTCACTGTTTAATGTGGCATTCTGAAAAGGAGAGTCGAAACACGAGAAGTGAAAATGTGGCTACGAATGAATCTGCTTAACCACAAAATGCCTTGTAACATTGTATGATTTTTATAAAGGAGAAAGGCTAGCAGCCTATTATGAGTTGTTCCAACATTTGCTGTGTGTATTAATTAAGCTTGTATGACATTAGGCAGGTTAGATGTCTTTTGGTTCTTGGCAGACATTCCACAACATGTTGAAAATTATTTGCCCTTGTACCATATACCTGTATACATCCACTTCTGTTTTGGATTTACCTTTCATTCAACCCTTTAAATGACAGAATATTTCATAACTGATATTGATGTATCAGAACTTTATGGGTACAAATTTGATAGTGTTTTAAAATAAACTGAATTGGATGGTTGACCATTTAGAGACATAGAGGATAGATAGTGTTATGATACATTTGTGTCAAGGCTCTGAAGATCAGTTGTTTGTTATAGAGTTGGTACCAGCAAGAGAAACAGGCGTCTACTTCAGATAGCACTGGTAAATGTCGTTTCTTATATTCCAAGTACTAAAAAATCTGGTTATAGACAAAATATTATAATCTGTTTATCGAACCCTGTGAATTTGGTGATATCTGAATGTTGTCTGTTCAAACACTGTTATACAGCAGTCATTGACGCATCAGCCTTTATACTTGTCAGAATATTGATTTCCATGAAGTTACAGTTTAAGGTCTTTCATCACCATCCAGTTTATATAAACAAATCATTTCACATGACTTAGAGATGTGAAATTCATATAATTAGCTTGCCTACAGAATCACACTTCATATAACGATGCAAGCAAGAGGAGTCTTTTTTCTTTTCCTCTTTTTTTTTTTTTTTTTTGTTTTCGAAGTGATATTTCAATCGAAACCCATTGTGTGGACAAGTTTTATTCTATGAATATTTATATCCATGCATTTGTTATGTCATGGAGATATCTTTTACACGTAGTGCTTTTTTTAAAAAACATATGTCACTGATAACAAAAAACAGTGATACACCTTTCACAGATGGTCACGGGACAAAATTGGAAACTTGTGCCATGTCTACATAGTAACTGTTGGATGGAAAGGCTGTTTCTCCAAATTCAGATGTGATGTATATAATATATTACAAATATTATGTATTAACGAACACACACTCGGTCATGTTGTGGATTTGTGTTCCGTTATTGTGCACTGAGATTATAATCCTTCTGTGATGACGGAAGTCAAGCTTCCACATGATTAAGATTTTCCCTTTCTTCCGTGGATTATGGAAGAGGGAACTGCAAAATGAATACAGATGCAGTCAAGCCTTGTGAGATTATGTGAAAGAGTGAAAATGTCGGGTGCTTGTAGCATCGTAGTGTATAGCAACAAATGTACGGCATGAAATGTAAGTTTTAAAATATTACTGATTATGTAAAAAAGCAAATTTAAACACTATTTTCGTATAATGGCCAGTTTGTTTCTGTTACAACACTTCTCCTATTTAGTAGATGTATAGAAACAGAAGGTTTAATCCCAGTTATATCAGTGTTACTATCATGTACACACTTTATTATTCTTGTGCAGAATGGCTACGGTCATACAAGATGTATCACCACTTCTGCAGTTATATTAGCACTTTAAAATATGAGAAATATTCCGGTGAATTTATTTTAGATCAACATTAGATTGATGGTGTGATAATATATCAGGCTAGCCAGTTATTGATGACAATTTGAATATGTTTTAATGTTTTATGGTGAGTTCAGGTGAAACTAGATATAATTTGTTTTGGAAAGTTGAGGATCTAAATTTCATTATATCAAGATTTTGGTAAATACTTCAAATCCAGTCTTAAACAGACATCTAAAAGTCTGACTTGATTTTATTGTTTGGGTAATTCTCCGGAATATTTTCTTTGTATGGGGTAAAAATTTGGTACTTTCCTTTTAGACCAGATCGGTTTGTAGAATAATGAAACACTCACTTGCCTGTATAATGTATATATGTATAGTACGCAACAAATCTGATTGTATTTTAATGCCAGTGTAATACAAAAGACGAGTACAATTGTACCTTGGGCGTAATAAATATTTACAACTGCTTTTGATGTGTTGATTATTTTTATCATAAGGAATTTTATACTAAAGCCAGTATAATATCAGGGCACGTATTTGTGAAACCATTCTCATGCTCAAGCATAGATTTCGTGCTCAAGCATAGATTTCGTGCTCAAGCATAGATTTCGTGCTCAAGCATAGATTTTGTGCTCAAGCATAGATTTTGTGCTCAAGCATAGATTTTGTGCTGAAGCATAGATTTCGTGCTCAAGCATAGATTTCGTGCTCAAGCATAGATTTTGTGCTCAAGCATAGATTTTGTGCTGAAGCAAACACTTTATAATTAACCTAATCATAAAATAATACAAATGTCAAATCTAAGCCTTGAACATAGCTTTGATTTTAAGCCCTTTCAAAATTGTTTTGAAATATATGGCAAAATCAGCCTTATGTATTTTTAATTTTTAATTTAAACAAGACATAAGGCTTGAGTACAAAATTCATGCTTGAGCATGAGAACGGTTTCATGAATACGCCCCTGGTGTTTGGAAAGTTCACTATGACATTGATATCAGTTTTTCTTCCTTTGAAGACCAGCATATTTCAACTCCAACTAGATGTTTCAGTGCCAAGATACCCTGTGACATTGTTTATTCTTGACGTTGCAAAATTTAGTTTGACATGTGTCATATATGCAACATGAAAGAGCACAATGTTTATGTGACTAAGTGAAAACTGACCTTATTGACCCTAGATTTTCCTGGTTTTTTATCTTATAGGCAAAGTTAACTCTATGTTAACCAAGATTTACTCAAATATACCTGCTATCAACAATGTTAATTGTGACATCAATTAGGACTTTAACTGTATGATGTCTACCATAGTGATCTGCTTTAACTGTAGGCCTTAACTCTATCCAAGTGACAACTTTACAGCTATGACCTAAACCTAATTGCTCAAAGCTTAATTAGGTCAATCAGATTGATGTTTGTTAAGTGTCAATTTTGCTTTGAAAGTCCCTGTTTCTTTTAGTGGCAACTGCTTAATTTTCCAATTACCAAGCTCTGTGCAACCAAGAGCTGTCAAATTCTCTTTCTGAAACAGTATGACACCCAAGGGAAGATAACTCTTAATTCAATACCTATAATTTCATTTCCATAAGAAAAGCAGTAAAATCAGTGATTAGGTTCCCGGAAATGTCATTAGAACGGGAATGTGTAGGCTATATATTGCAAATCATTGATTTTATTTACATTTAGATATACACAGATTAAGCCTCAGACAAAATGACCTTGACCATAGACCTACAGACCAGAAAGTAGTAGGCATTGAAATGGCCCCATTGGTTCAAAGGCTGGATAGTGGTAACCAATGGATAGTGAAAATTTTCAGATGTGAATATTATTTCATATCAATAAGGTTATTGAGGCAGGTCAGATAGATATTTTTGCAGTGTCAGTTTTGGTTTTAAAGTGCTTTTTTTAAGTGGCAAAAGTTTTAATTTTTCACTAACCACTGGTGATGTTGAATTAACCTTTGAGCAACCAAGACATGATATCTGGAGTCAAAAGACATTAACTAGATTCTAGATTTGATTGCTAAATCAGGGTTATTTGCCATTGCTCTTGTGAAGTCCTTAACTTTGTTGTATATTCCGGAAAATGGTAGATGACCCACTGCCAATAGCTCGGGAATGCTTAGTTACTGATCATTCATGACCCCATCTTACAATCCAGAGATACACGTCAGTCATTTCATTGTCCAAAATCATTGATTAAAACTTCGTTCCCCAAGAAATGGATTTGACCTTCACTTTCGATTTGACCTTGATCTTAGAAATATGTACATTTTATTTGATTATGATAACTGACCGTGTTCTGCCATCCTGCAGACATTCAGAAAATTGTCAATACCTACCTTTACTGGGTAAAAAGTAGTGGCTTAGACAATGAATTTGACCTTTAACCTCATGTTAACCCTGGTCTAACATGCGATGGTACACGACACGCCCTTTACCATTAATCTAGATTTTCACTAATAGGACTATTGGTGTTTTGACATGAAAGACGATTTATTTGGAACAAAACAACTCATTAGATCTTTCCAAATTGCCATTTGTAATGCGATTTATATAAAAACATGCAAAAGAAAACAAAAAATAAATCTTCTGACGCAACAGTCGTTTTGTGGTTGTTTTCCAAATTAACTTCGTAAGACGTCATAACCGAATCTAACAGGTAACATTTATCACTGACGAGATCCTGCTGTTCCAAGACTTCGTCATCCTGTTCAGTCTAAAACATGGCTGATGTGTTATCTATATTAAAAACCTGAATGTTTTGTACATGGGCGTGAATATGCAAGTTTTCAGAATTCAGATCCGACATGAGTCATATAAACGTATTGTATTGGGAATCAGAGCTGCCCCCGTGTTATAACCAGATCAGATGTAACTTCACTTTAAGATATCTGTGATCCACTGTCTTACGACATTCCGACACTTACATAACTAAGCTATATCGTCTTAAGTATCATACAGGTCTTCTCTACCAACACGCTTACATATCAAAATTAATATCATACCAAGATTGACGAGTCATTAAGGTATTTCGATTTGTTTACCCATATATCTAGGGTTTTCCGCTGGAGTAGGGTCGAGTTACGCTTCGGTGTTGTCGAGTCATTAAGGTATTTCGACTTGTTTAGCCATGTAGCTAGAGTTTTCTGATAAGTAAGGTCGACTTATAATTCGGTGTTGTCGAGTAATTTAGGTATTTCGACCTGTTTAACCACGTAGCAAGGGTTTTCTGCTGAAGTAAGGTTGAGTTACGTTTTAATTTTTTTCGCGGACTAGTATAGTTTCCTACAAATACCGACAGAATACTGTTCAAAGTTAGTCACGTATTCTCAACTATATACTACATAAAGCAATTATTTCCAGCTGTTAAAAACAGAGGTGACTGTGAACCAGACAGTTTACAACTAAAACCTTTCTCAGTATGTAATACAGTTGGACCAGTTAATATCGAAACATTAAGTGTAACATCACATTATGACGATGTCACAACATCAAAATGATATAAAAAAATAGTCACATTAGTAAGATATATGTTTTTATGTGTTTGGGGAAGTGGAACCCCCGTGATGACTTGGGTATTTATCTAATCGAACTGAGAACGCCTACATGTTTTGCTGAATGTTATACTTAAGTTATACACACTATATAGGTGCTGGAGCGTGTCTGCGCAACAGCAAATTATTCTTGAGAGATTTATTGAACAATAAATTACATAGTATGTTTTTTCCCCTTAATCTGTTGTTATTTTTACTGATTTTTGTTAGTTGGGTCTAAATATAGAACTGCATTGTCTAAGTTAGTGGTTAATATCGAATTACTTCAGGGTCAGATATTGCCTTAGTTGCGATGTGTTTTATCCCTCGCGTTTGCGCGGTTCTGGACAGGAAGTTTTCTTTCTAATGGTGTTTAGTGTTGTCAAGTCCACTGGAAAGCTGTACTTGCAGTTTCCCCTATATATTGTATTTTTGGTTGGGACAAATTTCTTCCGCCCCTTCCATGGTCTTCTTGTTTCAAGAATATGGTCTGCTGTACCCCACTTCACACTCGTAAGAAGTGACTAAGACAATTCGCCCCGCCCCCTCGCCCTTTCCCTCCTCTATCTGAAATATCGTATTTATTGTGAATATGAATGTAATATTTATCTCTTAGCTAGCTTGCGTTCATCTCCATAACCAACTTTATCTGATAAGGATAGTTTGCAGTATATTTATATTTCAGATTTTGTTTTTCTGATATGTCGTTGCTATTTTATAAAGGTTTTTTCTCTCTATATGTTTATTTACTAGAAGATATTCTGAAAAAAAATCATTAACATTTAAACGATTTATGAAAAGCTATTGTCTTTTTTTGGGACGAATGTAATGTTTATCACTCAGCTAGATTGTATTCATTTTCATAACAAATTTTCTGGCCTTTCCGCTTCGGGTACACACGCAGCGACTTACGTATAGGTCCCACAAAACCGCAAGTTTACCCTTGTGTTTCCCGTTGGAGAAACTTTAATTTGTCATTCTCATTCACATACATAGGTTTTCTTCTGTCTTCTCTTCATTGACGGCGATGTCTCCTTAAAGACATCTGATTAGTGACAGCTGAACCATAACATGATTAAAATTAATCGGGTACCATGTCGCCATATTATATTTATGTGTGCTGACACTGCATCGTCCGCTGAAAGGCCAAAATGGCGTAAAAGTGGATGTAAAATCTGTTAAAAATAAACAAACACCATCTGCTTATGATCTTCCCTTTTACGAGAACGGAAAACTTTTGAAAATATTCGTTTGGTTTGATTTGATCTATCTATTCATTTATGCGTTAAAATAACTTTAAGTCACTTGTGTGTATCAATGCATGCATCCATGTATCTCTTTCCAACTTGTTGATAGTACTAGTTCGGAACTCTTTTGAAGAGAAGATATCACAGTGAGGTTGTGTGTGTACCTTACTCTACCTCAATATAAATGTCTGAACCACTTACAACTTAGTGCTGTCTGGAAAAAGGCATACACTCTGACACTTTCATACATCACGTTGTGAAATTGACTGGGACAAGAGAACTGTACCGGTGATACGATAGAGAGACAAATTACGCCCCATTTTACCTCTGTAGCAGTCTGGTACTCCAGAGATGAATAAAAAGACCAATTGATGACTCGGGGTAAAAATATTATACATCAAAAACAGGTTGTTACAGAAGAGAAACATATATGTGAGTTAGGTGCATACATATGTCCTTAGACTACTTAAAATTACAGAGACATGATGAATATAGCTCGGTATAATTGGATCTCCAATCACTGGTGCACAGGGGCATAGGAATACAACGGGGTATGTTAGGTCTCTGAATAATGGTGCACAGGGACATGAAAATAAAACTTGGTATGCTTGAGTCTCTGGGAAAAAAGCTGTTGCACAGGGACGTGGGGCACAATTGGGTATGTTTGGGTCTCCAACTATATGTTCA